TTATTTCAATTGTTATTGATATACAGATAAATTAACATGTTAGTTTTAAACCAAAAATGAGTTAACCACAGAAACCCATCCCATTTCTTTACATCTGGAACCAAATTTTCCTAGTATTTCACCTGTGAGGCTTCAGACCACAACGATCTCAAATCTGGCAATTTGTCCTCAGTCTTCCTTCTTTTATCAAATTCAGTTTTTCCTTATAATGCCCATATGTTACAAAGAAAGGTCTGCCAAAAGGTCTAACCATCCAGTAACTTTCACAAGGAAAAACAGAGACTTCTAGTCACAAAGTAAAACCTATATGGATACCACTTTCCCAACTGAGCTGCCAACCGGAAGATCAAACCATAGCAGTTAATGGGTGACACTTGAGTATACAGATAGATGCTCCCTCAGTAATGACTTTCTGCACCCTGAAACTTTCAGAGTTCCATCCAATTCAAAGTATGAGGGACAACATTAGCAGTGACAGCTTGGTAATTAATCCAGTAGTCAACTTCACATGTTCAAGCAACAGTGACCAGTGACCATGGTCCCTAAATTTTTCAAATGCAAGGTTTCACTACTGTCTCAGACCACAAGGAAGCAGTCAATTTTAACTTACTCTCTGCATACATCCATTTATTTTCAGGTAACTAAAGATTCACTAATTAATCTAATGTAGCATAAAACTGATAGCAAAAGCAGTTATTGCACTGTTGGTTACTAGACTGAGACATGCACAAGATGCAATAATGAATGAATACTATAAAATGCATTATATATTTAGATGCTATTCTGTAATCCTTTGCCATATATGATGTGTCCACTGATGAGATTTAAGACTCCTCTCAATACATTTTGCTTTTAATTTTTTAAATATAGAATATTTACTATTTACTATATTAAATGTAGATCATCACCAGAAAACCAGAAATATTTATTTTCATAACAGGTATATAAGTTTAATTCAGTAATTTATTCAAGAATTATTAGAAATAATTTTCATAATACTCATAAAACTGAAATCAGGTAATTAAAAATAAAAACACATACCATTAGGATGGGTCAAATTAAAAACTAACAATATCAAGTGCTGACAAGGATATGGAGCAACTGGAACTCTCATACATTGCTGGTGGGGATACAAATGAGGGGATATAAATGTGTCAGCAGCTCTGTTCATAATCACCAAAAACTATAAAGAATGTAAATGTCTTTCAACATTGATTGGATACACAAACTGTAGTACACCTGTAAAATGAAATACCACTTGGGAATAAAAAAGCATATATACACACATGGATGAATCTCAAAGACATTGCCTGAGTGAAAAAAGTCAGTTTCAAAGGTTCCATACTAGATAATTTCATTTATGTGACATCTGGAAATGGCAAAACTTATAAAAGTGGAAACCAGGTAAAGGGTGGTCAAGGTTAGGGGCAGAGGGAGGGTTTGACTGTAAGGGGACAAACATAAGGGAGAGCTTATTATGTTTTGTTCTCTGGGCTGCTTCTGGTGATGGAATTGCTCTGTATCACGACTGTGATAAGGGTTATATGAATCAACCAATTTTAAAATTCATAGGACAAAAAGGTTAATTTTACTTTATATAAATTCAAATAGTAATAATGAAAGAATGAGAGCATGCAAATACTCTAAAGTGCTCAGTTAAAAATAAAAGGTAGTCCTTGACTGGTATGGCTCAGTGGGTGGGTCGCCAGTTTGATTCCTGGTCAGGGCAAATGCCTGGGTTGTGGGCTAGGTCCCCAGTTAGGGGTGTATGAGAGGAAACTAATCAATGTTTCTCTCGCACACTGATTTTTCTTTCCTTCTCTTTCTCCCTCCCTTCCCCCTCTCTAAAAATAAATAAATAAAATCTTTTAAAAAAGGTAAAAGTATCAATTATTATTTAAAAGACACTTAGGAAGTGTATAAACCAAATACAATGCCTGGGCTTTGTTTTAATCCTGATTTGAAAAAAAACACAGACTTTTTTAGACACTGGGTAAATTTGAAAACAGTACTAGATGATTAAGGCTATTTTGTTCCTTGTTAGGTAGGACTGCAGTTATGTAAAAACTAAACTTTTAAAGAAAATTCACACAAAAATATTTAGGGGTGGAATGATATGGTTTCTGGCATTTGCTTCAAAATTTTTCAGAAGTAAGCAAACAAATAAAATTCAGAAAAGAAAATATGGAGGGAGGGAGGAGGAGAAGGGCAAAAAAGTATGGCAAAGCCAGAATGGCGCATGGATTTCTGATGCCACACTGGTGGATAAGGGTTCACTGTACCCTACTTTTAAGTATGGCTGCAAATGTTTGTAATAAAATGCTGAGAGAGAAAAAAACAGTGACTTTGTCTTCATAAATACTCCCAAGAATGTCATCTAACCCTGTTTTGTATTCATTTATAAGACATACTAATTCCGCCTCATGATTTTCAGTAGGTTTTTATAATCTGCATCCAACTTTACAGGAAACCAAATCAAGGGAGAAAGAGTAATTCAAAACTGGCAGTTGTGATTCTACTAAAAAATAATGGCTTAAAGAATGCTTTTCAAATCTCATTTAATGTTGATAAATTAGTAAAACCATCATGAGATGTAGAAATATTAATAATTTTCATTAACTTATCTGCTGCATACTCCTTTAAGTATAGATGATAATAACAGGAAGAGATAAACCCTCAAAAAGTCTAAAAGCAGATGTAGTAATCTGAACAAATGGGCAAGAATGCTATATAATATGAAAAGTATCTCTCTAATTTACTTTGGCATAACTCAAAATGTCAGAGTTCTACAAAAACACTCCCAGCTAACTGGAAATGTGCTCTGGCTGGCTGCCTATTATATGGAAGGCCCTACTGGGGAATCCAAATGAAGAAGCCTGGACTCTCACCTAATTAGCATTATTAGGTGAGAAAATACTAAAAATCTTAGTATGACTTTTGTTTAAAATGGTCCAACACTGTTTAAGGCTAGAGTGCAAAAGCAATTAACATAGGTAAAAACAACAGAAAAAACTAAAATGGAAACTAGTTGCAGAAGCAAAAGCCCCATCAGGCTGCAGCGGCAAGTGTGACCCTTTGGGGAGGATAGAGGCATAGGAATGAATCAAAGGTTTTTAATAGCCCCTCAGTCAAGCTCTGAGGAGCTGGTGGAATTTCATACATGGAGCCAACAACTCCTGTCACTCAGAAGTGTCTCATTAATATTGAGGAAGGAGGGTCCCGAAGAGTAGAAGTATAGTGGAAACAGACTCTAAGCCTGTATTAGTACCTGGTCCTAATACATCTGACTGGCCCTAATGTCTGGAGAGCTGCCCTGATCTGGCAGCAGCTACTGCATTACAAGATGAGGTGACTGAATAAACCCCTTTCCTTTCCAAAGATGCCCATGTCTTAATCCCCAGAACTTATGAACATGTTACTTTACATGACACAAGGGACTTTTCAGATGTGCTTAAAAGTTAATGGCTTTGAGATGCAGAAATGATCCTGGATTACCCAAATGGGTCCAATCTAACCACATGAGTCCTTTAAAGTGAAGAAGCTTTCTTGGCTCAGGCCAGAGAGAGAGCTGTGACTGTGTTGGAGGGGTCGAAGGGATGCAACATGGCTATTTTTCAAGGCAGAGGGAAGGAGCCAATGAGCCAAGGAATAGGGGTGGAAAACTTGAGAAAAGAGAATCTCTTCTAGGGCCTCCAGGTGGGGACACAGCCCAGCTGATGGCTTCATTTCAGCCGGTGAGTTCCAGCAGCACTAGGAACCTAATACAAAATAAGATGCACTTCTCCCATTTGTTAGGCCTCTGTCTGGGCCCCTTCTCTGCTGCCCCCAATGAAAGCCACTTCCATTCAATTAAAAGATATGAATTCCAAATCTCACATCTCCAAACCCCACTTAACCAGACCACATGAGGTCATAAGCCCTACTCCATACATTCTGCTTAGTACCAACACCTCTCCACCTTAGTCCTTGCTGTTTGCAATTATTCCCTTCTTTAAAGTTTACATTTACAATTTATTAAATATCAAGCATCATGTAAATAATTTTTCATGGATTTTCTCATTTAATTCTCCCACCAACCCTCTCAGATAGACATGTTATGTCCATTTTTTAAATCAAGAAGTTCAAAATCACCCTGTTAGTAAATGGAAGAGCCAGGATCTGAAGCTAGGCAGACTGACCAAGGAGTTGGTCCCTTTAACAATGGCAATGTCTGTCTCCTAAGTGAGAAATGTAAGTTCCAAGATCTTGTGCATTTATTGACACAATACCCGCCCTGTTTAGCACATAGACTATTAATAGTTGCTGAATATGAACCAATAGGGTGAAGTTAGGTTTTCCCCCTACTATTCTTTTTTAAAGAAAACTTTCTTATGAGAAGTCAAATACACACAAAAATAGAGTAATGATATAATAATCCCTAAACACCCACTCCCCAATTTCAACACATTAAAGTAGGGCCTATCTTAATGCTAACATTTAATCAATTTAATTTATATTATCTGGTAGAAACAGCCCCCTTCAATATTATTCTTTTTCAGAATCACACATTCTTAGCTCTTGTCACATGTTCATTTGTCTGTGCGAAAACAAATTTTGAAAAGAATAACCTTGAAATGGTTATTATCTTTCTAAGCAAAACACAGAGCAAGGAAACTATAAAGGGGAGACTGATGTTTTTCCCTATATAAAAAATTGAATTTTTGTCAGAGCTTAAATACTGTAAACAAAGTAAAAAATGGGGACAATATAGTTGTCACATACTATATGAGAAAAGATAAGCATCCTCAGTGTATAAGGAATTCTTGCAAATCAGTAAGAAAAGGACCACAACCCAATGCCTTTTAGAAAAGTGGGTACCAAGATGAACAGTTTCCCCTATTGTTCTTAGGTGATAAAAAGACAAGGACTACCATCTGACTGTGTTTGTCAACATACTTTCTCTGATGCTATAGAATTTAGGAGCAAGAAAACTGTAGAACAGAGGAAAAAACGATTCTCACCTGTAAGCTTGTTTCTTCAAAACTGTGTGGCCCTGGAATCCAGTACCACAGTAAGTCTGAGAGTCTGAAAAGCTTTTGACTTCAGAATCCTTCCAAGCAGTACACTAGGACATGTAATCCCACCTTATAGGATGATATGCACCAGGTAGGTATCCAGTTCTCAGTCCTGCTGGAGGTAAGATTAAGAAAAGGGTGAGTAAAGAAAGTTGACTGTTTATGTGACAAGAAGCTTAAAAACAAAAACAAATCACCCAGCCCTTGGTGGAAAACATCTTAGGCCCTGGATGTGGGCCCAAGAAAGGTAGTTCCATTCAATGAGAAAATGTAGTACACTGGCCCAAGAGGCCACAAGATGCCTTCAAAAAAGGAAAATTCCCAGTGACGTAGCAGAGGGGTTCAAAGTTCTCAGTCTCCTTGAGAAACAGCAGCTATATCCTCTCTTCAAGGAAGGAAAGTAAGATAACAAAGGAAAAACTGTACTCAGTTACCAGGCACAGACTATTTTAGAAAAAAAAATGAGCTTCCTGGATGAAGGTTTCCTAGTCTTCTAAGGTCTTAAATTTATATTTTTTAAAAATTCAAACTACATCTGCCAAAAACATTCAACCTGAATTTATGCCTTTAGTTCTGTCTTTCAGATAACAGAAGCTATAGGGGATAGAGGAGCAAACTAAACTACACTATACAAAAAGGTGAAGCCAGAATATGAAGCATTTATAGACAACCAAGTGACACCAATAAATCATGGGCATTAAAGAAACACATGGGTACTGCTTTAGACAACAGCAAACTACGGCTCAATCCACCAGTGGAATTTTAAACAAATAACTGTGAAACACACAATTTTATGGGAACACATTCATGCAAATTTTTACATATCATCCATGGCTAACTTTTCAGGACAAGACAGTTGGGGAGTTGCAGCAGAGACTGCATGGCCTGCAAAACCTAACAGAGTTAGCATCTGGCCTTTTTAAGAAAAGTCTGTTAAACCCCTGTTCTAGATTTAAAAAGACAGCAGATACTCAAGATTCTGATTCACACAGACCAGCAGTAAAAATAAGTTCATGTCTGAGCCAATCACTGAAATTTGGTAGTGGACTGGGTTTTAGAAAACTGTAAGGAATTATTGTCATTTTGATTAGGACGTGACAATGGTATTATGATAAACAAGAAAATGCCTTCCTTTGGGGAGGTGCCTACTACACTTTGTAGGGGTGACATATTACACTGCCTGGAATTTAAACTGCTACAACAACTGCAGAAAGCCTCAAAATAAAAAGATGAAGCAGATTTGGCTAAAAAAGATTTTGTTTTAACAAATCATTAAATCTATTTGATGTTTGTTATAGTTCATTAAAGTTCATTTTATGTTTACTTTAATAAAAAAGAAAAATAAATCAGGACCTTGATCAAAAAGTGTATCACTACATAGGCTTTCTTTCCAGGCACACCTCCACCCCAACCCCACCCCTCCTTATGCTGAGTCTAGCCTCAGCATATCATTTGCTCCCACATTTATGAACATAATTATGTTTTAACTTCTTATCTTTGTCCATGGTGTTTACTACTAGAAATGCCTCATTACACTCCTTTGCCTATAAAAATTCTACTCTCTGCTCAAGGTTCAATGCAAATGTAACCTCCCCTAAGTCCTCCAGTGAGAATTAGTCTTTGTGCTTTTTTCTGTAAACCCACTAGAGGAGTATAACACCTTACCCAGGGTAAGCTCTGCCTATATAGCCTAAACAGGTCCAATCTAAACAAGGCTTTCTTGCCCTGAAAAATTTCACTGACAAGAGAGAAGTTCAATTAAAGAATGAGGTCTTGTTAAGCAAGATGCTTGTCATGTTTAACCAACTCTCTTTTTTTTTTTCTTAAATCCTCACCAGAGAACATGCTTATAGAGGAGAAGGGAAACAGAGAGGGGAAGAGAAACATCCGTGTGAGAGAGAGACATTGATTGGGTTGGCTATTGTATGTGCCCCCAACCAGGGACTGAACCCACAGCCTAGGGATGTGCCCCAATGGGGAATGGAGCACGCACACTTTTGGTTTGCAGGACAATGCTCCAACCAACTGAGTCACATGGGCCAGGGCTAACCAATGTTCTCTTAATAAAATGTCTAATAACCAAGGTTTACCTCTGGCTGGAAAATGCTCTAGAGAAGATTGCTAAGATCACTTGATTTTTGTCCTCCTATTGCCACTTTTCTGTGAGACCAGTCCTTCTGCAAACACCATTGTCTGCATCATGCCAGCCTGCAGGGTGCCTTACATCCTCAGTTAGCCCTGTAGTACCCACAGTTAGCCAGGCTAACTGTAGGTACACAGCCTTTCAACAGCTCCACTAGGAACATCTGACATAGGCTGGAATTTTCAAGAGCTCTTACTAGGTAAAATAGAGAAAAAATGAGCATATAATTTTAAAGCTTAAACAGTATCAATTTGTATCTGTATTCTCTTCTACTTCCTGCTGCCCATGAGCTAAGGCCTAACCCTTTCTAGGACCAGTGTTAATAGTTAAGACCCCCATTAGCAAGGTTGACTGGTTCAAAATATTTCTGAACAAAAGTCCACCTATTAGAAAATTTAACTTTGCAAACTATGCTTTTGAAATACAGTGCTCTCCACCAGATAGGCTGCTTAGGAGTTCCAGTTTTTCCTGGGAGTCAATTCAAGAAAACAAGTAATTTGGGGAAAATAAGGGCAAACTGCAGGAGCTCTTTATATTAGCATTTCAATAAACTGCACAAGACTGGAGAGAACAGTCTTCAATTATAGGGCAAGTTACATAAGTATGGTGAGTGATTAAGACCTACACTTTACACAGATCAACCTGACTGATTTAGTGATACCCCTTCGTTTTTAATACCTATTAGCAAAATTAATAATCTGCTTTAAAATATGGCTACAATAAATTTTCTTATCAGTTCCATATTCACAAAGTAAGTTTGGAATCAAGAAGGTATATTTAGAAAACCGCGCACCCATTTAGGGCTTTCAGAGTTAAACAGCAATAGTCATATTTAGTGTAATCAAGGCAGAAAAAGCAACTGCTCCAAAATTTCAGATGCGTCACCAATGGCTTCAAAGAAAACTAAGCTCAAAAACTAGCAAATGCCAGAAGTTTTTACATTTCTTTTGCAGCTTTTGATTTCCTCACAAACAGGTATCTCTAAAATTAAAAACAATTCCGCAAAGTGTTAAACCTCATTCAACTGAGATATCCTTTCTTAAAAGTACCTTCTTAAGACTTCACTTTTTCTCTTATTAGGAAAAAGCAGTCTACCTAACCTGAAGGCAGATGCTAACTGTTTCTTCACTAGCCCATTCTGGCAGTGGTGCTCGCTTCGCGAAGAGTGGAGCCAGTCCGTGGATGCACGCATTTAACGGCCCCCGAGTTCCCTCCCTTCCAGCTGGCTCAGAAAGCCTTTGGTGTCCCTTTTCCTGCCCAGACTCTGTCCCTCCCCTCTCTTCCTCTCCCCCACCTCCCTGGACCCCGCGGCCCAGACTTGGTCCCAGAGCAACACGCAGCGTCAGCACAGACAGCCCGACTTCCTGGGGTCCCCAGGGCAGTGCGTGGAGACCAGGACAGCTCCCGTCCCCGGCTCGGCTGGAGCCCAACGCCTCACCTGACGCAGGGCGCTGCGCCGTCGGGAGAAAGGGCCGGAGGAGCTGAGCGGAAATCGAGAGCCAAGAATGACACAGCAGCCCCGGGAGGCCGCCCCCGGGGTCGCCCCCTAGAGGCGGGATGCGGTGCCAGCCCGCTCTGGCCTAGCCTGTGTCTTCCCTGCTCCTGGGACCACTCGCGCGCGCACACACACCTGAGGCTCCTGGCCTCAGACACGTATGCTTTAACACGTCCTGAGCGCTCATGGCCAGCTTTGACTGCATGCTGAACTCAGACACACTGGGGATACACTACATCAGCTACACGTGCGCGCACACACGCGGACGCACACACACTTAGAAATGAGCCCACACCTGGAGATGCATCCCATCAAACATATCAGTTAGGCCTCACACTGGAGCATCCACACTCTCTCAGCCTGATATCATACTGGCTATTGTAGATAATTATATAGTCTTGATAATGCCACATATTACCAATTCCCCCTTTTTAAATAAAACTTTGATTGTAGAAGACAATGGAAGAAATAGCTACTGTCTTTTGCCTGGCTCCAAGGACTTAAACTGAACCTAGAAATGAAAGGAATGAAGACCAAAGGCTGAAGGAGAATTTTTATCTAAAGATTGTGTTCATTCTGGGTTTCAGCAATGCTATTTTGGGGACTCAGGTGACAGTAATGGCAAAGATGGAGAGGACCACTTCTGTTCCCTCCCCCACAAAGACACAAATGTATAAGTAGTTATTTAACTAGCAATAATCTCCCTTAATCATTATCTGTCCCTTCCACTTTCCTATGCATGTGGACTGGTTGAAATCTTGTACCAATCTGATTTTAATCCAAACATTTCCAATAATGCTGATTTGGTTGTGTCATGAATAGATATAAAATTCAAAAAATCAGAAAAATTCATAAAATCAATTCAAAAATTCATAAAAGATCAGACTCATAAGCCATAATGTTCATAGAGTTCTTTTTTTGTGTTAAAAAGTTCATAATTAAACTAAAATATATTTAAAAGCATTACCTATCATATATATTTATTTATTTATTATTGTTGTTCAAGTACAGTTATGTCCATTTTCCTCCCCCTTCCCCTCCCCCAGCTCTAGCATATATTTTTAAAGAGTAGGAATAATCTTACTTTTTTCTAAGGGAAGAATAATTTTGTTTTTATTTATTTATTTGCTTATTTATGAAGAAGGGAGATCATGTCAACAGGGAAGTGAGGCATATACATAATTTCTCTGGGGAAGGAAATTTAAAGATGGTGACAAGGTGATCGTCAAGTTGCATTTACTATCAGGCAAAACTGGGAGAGTTTGATTCAACATAGACTAGCCACTATGGAATGAAGTCTTCAATTTAATTGTCAAAAAAAGAACTCATATGTAGTTCAAATTGGTGGTTTTCAAAATGTAGTCCCAGAGCAATAGCTTCAGCTATTGAACATAGAAATGCAGAATCTCAGGCTATACCCCAGACCTTCTGAAACAGCAACTCTGAGGGTAGGGCCCAGAGATGTGTATTTTAGTGAGTGCTTCGATGTACATTCAAGTTTGAGAACCATGGTTTATTGAAGATTTGCTCCAATACTCTCAAATTGTACTGTCTATGTGACTCTCAAATTGTATTGTCCAAGTGAATCAACTGAAGAGCTTGTTTAAAAGTGCAGATTCTAAGTGCAAAATAGTTTGAATGTAAATTGAGAAATAAAATTTTAAAAATGCAGATTCTAGTTTGGGTAGTCTGGAGTAAGATCTAGATTCCACAGGATTTACTTGTGTCTGAGCACACACAAGGAAGGTCACTGTAGACATGGTTGTCCAGCAAAGGCAGGGTTGGGACTGCCCTCAAAAAGCCAAAAGGCAAAGAGTTTCTCAAGAAAACTGATTGAGCCCTGACTGGTGTGGCTCAGTTCATTGTTGGCCTGCAAAGTGAAAGGTCACCAATTGCATTCCTGGTCAGGTCACATGCCTGGGTTGCAGGTTCCATCCCTGGTCAGAGTATACGAGAAGCAATGGATTGATATTTCTCTCCCTCTCTTTCTCCCTCCCTTCCCCTCTCTCTAAAAATAAATAATAATTTTTTTAAGTAAGAAAACCGATCAGTTTAGGAGAGTCCTTGGCCTGTCAATTTAGAGTTGGTGGGTTACATAGGAGTCCTCGAAGGCCAACTGCTCTAGTGAGGTTAGGAACTGAGTTGATTCACTAAGCCTGTCAGGTTGCATCCAAATGGTAGAGGTGAATCACTCACTGACAAGAGTTGCACCCAACATCACCTCTTTTCCTCCTCACTGTGATCCCTTGCTCTGCCATCTAAAATTTCCCACATCCTTCAGGCTCAGGGTTCTGAAACCAATAAATTGCTGTGCCTGGGTTCAAAGCTCAACAAACATTTCCTTTATCAACTCAAAGAATTTAAGCTAGCAAATTGTCTTTAACTGAAATTATCCAGTTTGACCATTTTTGTCATCTAAATCGGGGCCAGTAATTGCCAAGCTCCCTAGTCCAGACTTGGGTGTCATAAGATAGATGCCTAATTTATATTTGCTAAATATACTGCTACTTAGTATTATGGAAGAGGCCAGCCTCATCTCCTTGTTACCCCTACCCCATGCCTTCCGTATTACAAATACCACACAACAGATGGGAAAATATGTTCTGAATCTCTTGAAAGTATAATTATAGTGTTAATTAAACAATAGAACAAGGAGACTACACAAGGAGCTTGAGGTCTAACTAAATAACTCTGTAAAATATACTGAAATACTAACACATTATTCTAGTAAATCCATCCTACCACTTGTTTTTGTATGACCCATGAGCTCAGAATAAGTTTTACATTTTTAAATGCTTGGAAAAGTATCAGAATAAAAATATAATACTTCATGACATATGCATATTATATGAGATTCAAATTTCAGTTTGAATCTTGGGACTCTCCTAAACTGATTGGTTTTCTTACTTAAAAAATAAAAAGATTTTATCCATAAATAAATTCTACTGAAAATACAGTCATGTTTTCATTTATGTATTGTCTATGGTTTCCATTGAGACCACAAGGACTGCAAAGCCTAAAATATTTATAATCTGCCCTTTTATAGAAAGTTTGTCTATGCTGCCCTATACTCTTTTGCTCCAGCCTCTGTTGTAATCTCTACCTCCCTATTCTATAATAGTTGGTTTATATGACTGTCTACTTACTGAACTGAATTTTATGAAGGCAGACCTCTATTCTTTATGAGTTCCAAGCACTTTTCACCATGGTATATAGACTAGACATTCAATAACATCAATTGAAGTTTATTTTTTGATTAGTTACCTTATGTAAATCAATATGAACTTAACAAAAAGGCTTTATAATAAACATAGGATCCATTAACTAGGCTAATGTAGAAAATTTGTGTGCAAAAAGTAGAAAAAATGTATTCTGCAAATAATTAGATTTCTTGCTTCCATTTCTAAATCTAGCTTGAAGGAATTGTTCAATTTGAAAGCAGCAGGGTTATTCTTCTTTTTATTCTGTCAAGTTATTTTACTTAATACAACAGGTCTCATTGCTAAACTATTTTCATGGCAAAGAAATTAATGAATAGATAAAACCAACCTCATGAAGCTAAGTTCATTCACAATAAATTCAATCTGGTATTTCTGGAATTAACATTTTGAAGATGATGTGCACTGCTGTCAGATATTTAAAAATAAGGCATTGACCTTTCTCCACAAATGATATGCATTATCTCTTCTAAAAAGTCTATGGAATTTTCCAAGCAATTGCAGTTGAGATGGTCTATGTGATTCTTGTCCATCTTCTGTAAATTTAGGAATAACAAGCAAGGACTCAAGTGAAGTGCTGTATGAGATTATTTCATTAGTGTTGGTGAATAAATTCTTAATCGGGAATAATAGCATAATTGTAAGAACTCCCAGAAAAAGTAACCTGACTAGCCAAACATGCCATTAGCTGAAAAAAGCTAATGACATTGCACAGAGGCCAAAAACTAAACTCTAACCCTATAGCATTGCTGCTATTGCTTCTTAAAACTAGGATCAAGTTATTTGGTCCTGCTCTCCAAACAGTAACTTTTAAAAGAAAATAATGCTTACCAGGTGCCTAGATATAGACATGTAGATATAGACAAAATGAAATGCAGCTTAATTCCTGTGAACTGTCACTATAGGAAAGAATACATATGAAGAGTTCTTATGTGCCTTGGCAAAGTATTCTTTCTTATTTTATTCTTTGAACAATAGTATGAAGCAGATATTACCACTCCCATTTTACATATAAAATGGCTCCAAGGGGTTCAATAACCTATTCAAAGGCACACTACCTTGAATCAAGAGTGCTAAAATTTGAACCCATATCCAGCTGAACTTAAAACCTGAGCTCTTTAACATGAGGGTTAAACAGGAAAGCTGGGTAGTATATGCTGAAATTTATGTCATCTGGATGAATAATTTCTTTTACATTTGCACCTCTTTGTTAAAAGTGCAGTTTCCAATGAATAACCTTATATAAGGTCTGTCCAGAGGTATCCAGCCATGGAATATGAAAAATTTATTGGAGAACATACAAGATACAAGAAACACTGTAGAGAAGACAATGTTGCCTCAGTCCCCTTCAAAGTAGGCAACTTGGGACCTCACATACTTCTCTCAGTGGCCTTCAGCCGCCCCATCATATTTTTCTGAGTCTCACTGACGGCCTGAACTGTCTTCCCTTTCAAAGGTGATTTTAATTTTGAGAAAAGCCAGAAGTCACATCTGGAGCCATATCTGGGGTCACATATGGCTCCATATCTGGAGCCATATCTGTTGATTCAGCCAGGGGGGCTGAATCAACAAGGTGATTTGATGTTTCACCAAAAACTCTGCATGAGACATGATGCATGAGTGGCACATTGTCATGATGAAGCTGTCAATCACCAGTTGCTCAGAGCTGTGGCCTTCTGAATTATCTGA